CAATTGGAAGGAAGAGAGGGGCCACTACCACCAGCGGACGTGTGAGTGGTATACAAATACCCCCATCTCTAATCATGACTTGTCTTGACGAGAGGCCAGACGCTGATGAAATCTCTTCGGATAACTCTGTCCAGAATCCACCCCTGTGTAACGGAGCTATATGTGTGTCTAGGCTTATTACTGCAAATAAAGCAATTACTGCTTTCATGAGGCTGATGAACATTTAGGCAGTAGAACAGGCAGGGCTGTGTATATGAAGAGGTGCATGTGAACGTGTCCTCCTCCTGTTTTGGAGCAAGCATTTTAAAAAATATTGGATCATTCATTCATTCATTCATTCATTCATTCATTCATTCATTCATTCATTCATTCATTCATTCATTCATTCATTCATTCATTCATTCAACTTGTATACTGCACTGATTAGTGGCAAACCCTAGAGATGGGCACGAACCGGCAATTTGTGCCAGGTCGGCGGCCTGCCCAACAGGTGTTCCATAGTTTTGAGGGGCCCCCCCGGGGTCTGGCTGCCACCCAGAGAAGGTGGGGCAGGGAAGCAAGGGCCCTGCCTCCAAGTGGTTCCCTGCTGGAACGGATAGGGCTGGGAAGTGCAGAACACCTGTGGGGCCGATCGCCGAAGTGGCACGAACTGACAAATCGGCAATTTCTGCCCATCTCCAGTAAACACTATTCTGAGCATCCAAAATGAGACAGACATAACATGAAATAAAATAAATCTTAAATAATGTACTAAACCACAACTACGCACACCAGATATAACTTAATGGTTTGAATGTGCCTCTGATTCAGTTGGTTGTATTTTAGTGTTGTTTTTAATGTTGACACATTGTGATTTCAGCAACAGGGTGACCAGGCAATGAAACTTTTAAATAATCGGAGCTCTGTGAGAGAACCCAGCGCTTAAGCACGGCGCTTATTGTTCTGCCACGTTTTTGTCTTGAACTTCAAAAGCAGGTATCCCACCGATCCTGAGCTTGTGGAGACGGCGCGGTGGGTCCCGCAAGAAGCAGGAGATTCCTTGTTGTTGGTCCTGTGGGGGTTAGCAATTGGGGGGGGGGTTTGGCAGACGGTGTTCTGTTTTTTGTTTTTTGTTGTTGGATGGTTCAGCCTTTAAAAAAAGCTGTCAGTATTTCTTTCATGAAGACTTTGAACAGATGCCTAAAACAGTTGCTCAGAGGAGGCAAGGAGGCAGCATGGCTTTATTTAAAAAAAAAAACAACCCACAAAGCCACTCCTTGTCTCTAAGCAGTGAAAGCCAGACATGTCACCATCCACAAAATACTCATCCTCACAGTGACAGCCCCCTCTTCCTCCTGCACTGCATGTTACCTCACATGGTGGCTTCATCGCACCCCACCTTTCATCTGTATATAAAAATTAAAAATTCAAACAAAAATCTGGCCCACATGAAAAACAAGAGAGAGAGAGAGACCCCTTTTGGGCATATGGTTCATTATGCACATTTGTTTAATTACAAAAAACACTTGGGATTGTTCTCGGTGTCCCTCTCCTCCCTCCCACTCCTGTCCTTGCTTTCAACTTGTAAGCTGGAATCTGTTTTCTGGAACAGATATGAAAGGATTCGGCCGTTCTTTCTCCTAAAACGGTAGGAGCAACTTTTGTGTTTTGAAATTCAAATGGAAAACCGGGACCTGTTCCTCTGTTGGGAAGAGCAAGTGTGTATAGTGGGCATTATCCGATTTGTGATGCGCATGTGCAAAAACACTGCCCATACGAATGAATGGCCAACTATCAGAGGATGCTACTATGTCTTGGAGGTCATCCCACGCTACTTATACCTCCCATTCATTCTCTCAGGCCCTGACATTGAGCAGAACGAGACGGTTACCTTAGGCTGCAAATTTCAAACACTTGAATCATCAGTTTGTATTTTTCCTGCTAGAGATGGAGGGAAGGGAATTTCTGAGATTTCCTGTGTCAGGTGCCAAATGTGTTTGTTACCACATGGTCGACAACTGAGATGCTCAGAAAAACTGACTCCTACCATGCGTTTTGGGATTCCCAGTGCATTGTAGGGTACAGATTGACAGACTAGAACTCTGGAGAACAGGATTTCAATCCACACTTAGCCATGGAAACTCCCTGGGAGGGTGGAAATGGTAAAAACCACTCCTTAAATATCTCACTTACCTTGAAAGCCCTATTAGGGTTACTAAAAGTCAATTCTGACTTGACAGCACAGAACATCCCCTAAGGATTGGTATTTATTCATTCATCCACATTCATGGAAGCAATAAGGCAGCACATATGGGGTTAACTCGTGTTGTAATGTTTTGAGGTAGGTTAGCCGGAGAGCTGGGGATCAGCGCTTGGTGCAAAACATCCCAGCGAGCTATGTGATGGAGCGAGAATTTGATTCTAGGATCCAAAAATCAGAATGCTTGCACAAAAGTCTTCGGTGTATTGCTCAGAAAAAAAAAAATTCATTCCGTGACTTAATTTCACTGACAAACGAACACAACATATCCCATGTTCCCTGTCACAAATCTCAGGCGCATTGACTTCTGTGGTTTTTAACTCACACTTTTATATGGCACCCAGGAGTCAGAAAAAACAAGAGGCTTTGGATTTCATAAAGCTGTTCCTAGAACTTTCTCCATAGTTCTACCAAGTATTTAGCCAACTGAATGGATAGCTCAGTGGTTTACGTTGAGAGTCCGATTCCCCACGGCTTTGCCTCCTGTTTGTAGAGCTAACCTATGTGGTCTTGGGCAAGTATAAAGCTGTTCCTAGAACTTTCTCCATAGCTCTACCAAGTGTTTAGCCAACTGGATGGATAGCTGTGGATGTCTCCAGAAGAAGGGAATGGTAAACCACATCTGAGTCTCTTCTACCTAGAAAACCCTGGGTAGGGTCACCATAAATCAGAATTGACTTGATGCCACATCATCATCAGTGTTTAGCCAAAATCAACTTCCGTGTAATTCGAAACCACTGTTTCAGGTCATACTTATTAGAATAGCGGAAGGCAAGCTTGCTCCTTCTTCCACATGACAGCTCTTTGTCTATTTGAAGGTGACTATCATAAAACTTCTCCATCTTCTCTCCTTCAGGCTAAATGTGAAGCTTGCTCCTTCTTCCACATGACAGCTCTTTGTCTATTTGAAGGTGACTATCATAAAACTTCTCCGTCTCCTTCAGGCTAAATGTACTCAGCTCCCTCCACTGTTCTGGCTTTTGTGATAATGTGGATAGTTGATATTTAGGAATATCTCTTCCCTTTTTTTCTATCCTGCTTTTTACCTCTTTGGTCTCTGTCTGATACCACTTTTTCTTTTTGTATGTGACACAGTACATGGGCCTAGAGGCAAAGTGGCCAGTTAGATGGCAGCTTGTTCAGCACTATTGGGTGTTTCACCCCCAAAATAACTTTGAAAAAGATGATTTCTAATGTCATTCTTCCCCTTTAAAAGTTTTTACAGCCACCGTGGTCATTCGTGCATTGAGCAGCTTTTAAAATCATCATCATCACCTTAGAACTACAGAGCTTGAAGATTTTGCTAAATCTAGGATTGTAAGTTTAAGAATCAATTAAAGATGTTTCGGCAGGCCTTCATCACCCCCAAAATAACTTTGAAAAAGATGATTTCTAATGTCATTCTTCCCCTTTAAAAGTTTTTACAGCCACCGTGGTCATTCGTGCATTGAGCAGCTTTTAAAATCATCATCATCACCTTAGAACTACAGAGCTTGAAGATTTTGCTAAATCTAGGTTTGTAAGAAGCTAGTGCATGGCCACTGTAAGCATCTCTCATTTCAGGACATACCTGTCGTGTTTCTCCCTCAACTAGTTCAAGTCTTGAAATGGGTGGAAATAAGCCTCCACCCTAATGCCAACAAAGTATTTTTTTACTTTAGATATGGCACTTTCCATTTCATATTTTGCTTCCTTTTCACTGTTTCCTCATTTACCTTCAAAATGTAGGGTGTGTCTGGTCTTAGTAACACAAACACACAGTTTCCCCCAATCGGGAAGTCTTGGATGGCATTATATTATTAAGGAAACAATGGAAGAGGTTTAAATTTTATTGACCTGGCAGCCCCTATTTTGTGTTGCATCCCCATTCACTGAATCATAGAATAATGGAGTTGCAAGGGTCCTATAAGGCCATCAAGTCGAACCCCCTGCTCAATGCAGGAGTGCAAAGCAAAGCAGATCTGAACGAAGGTGGTCCAGTTTTCTCTTGAATGCTTCTAGTGTCAGAGCAGTCACCACCTCCCAAATTCACTGGTTCCACTGTCATACTGCTCTAACAGTTAAGAAGTTCCCCCCCCCCGATACTCAACTGAAATCTGGCTTCCTGTAACTGCTATCATCTCATTGTAGCTGATGTGTACAGATGGGCAGACAGCAAGACAGAAAGGCAACAAGAGAACTAGCAACAATAGAAACAACACCAAGCATATTTGGGCAACCCAATGTGGAATGCCAGGGTCCTGCCTCATTTGGCGTGAGTGGCTGGAACCACTTTCCTTGCTTTGGGGAGCTCCGTTCCCTGGATGGAAGATCTCCCTTTTGCACGTTGATTCCGCTGGAGGGCAGCGTCTTGTTATTTTCATTTTCCATGAGCATTAATATGTGTGTCTCTTGAGTGCACATGTACATTTGACATCATAAACTGTTTTTCCATTCCCCTTCTTTCATATTTGTGGAAGATCATATATAGAATAAGTATAAAAGGAAAAAAAACAAGATGCTAACATTCTGTATGAACAATGTATGGCACAACGGACCCGAACGCTTCCAGTCTGATTACCTTTCATGAAAGCAAAATAAAAAAAGGGGGTGAGACTCAGAGGTTAATGAAGATTCAAGGATGTAGATGTGTAAGAATAAAAGCTCGACAGCTTTATTTTTCCACCGTTCTCTTCTTTTTCCTCTTTTGTTTCATGCAAATGAGCCAAGTACTCTCCCCCACCCACCCAATCATCCTCCTCTCTCCCTTTGCTTCTTTCAGGTGTTTGTGGTCACAGTTTGGCATTTTGAACTTTACATGGTTCCCTTGGCCCTGCTGTTGCTTTTCGCTTACAACTTCTCCCGGATCACGCCAGAGAAAGTCACCAGCCCCCAAGACCCTCAGGTATGTAGCACGGAACCATATGTTTTAAGCCTGATCGTGATTTGTCCTTGAACTATAACGGAGATGATTGGTTTCCTACATTTTTGCTCAGTGGATTAGATGTCTGGCTGTGGAGCCAGAAGTTGGGAGTTAAATTCCCTGCTGTGCATCGCAGGAGAAAATCCAGCCTGGGTGGCCTTGGGCAAGCTGCCACAGCCCCAGGCTGCCCCCTAGAGGAAGGGAAGGGTCAACCACTTCTGAGTACGCTCTACAGTGGTGCCTTGCTAGACGATTGCCTCGTGGAACGAAAAACCTGCAAGACGATTGTTTTTTGCAATCACTACGGTGCCTCACAAGACTTTTTTTTCTATGGCTGTGCTTCGGAAGACTTTTTTTTTTTTTGGAGACCGATGCAT